AAACATAATGGCAGCTTGCTGACAGATGTTATCAAAAATATATTTCTAAAGTTTATTGGAAGACTAGACAAGATAATATGTACAGCCCACAGATTACCAAAAGTCACATAAAACCCAAAACAATAAAGCTAGCTTTTATCTACCTAACACTTTTGAGAGTTCTGTTAGGCGGTACAAAACTTATACCCAGATTCAGGTTTCAGATTAGCAGAGGCTACAATTTCAGCAATTTGCCAAGCATAGATTCAGGCCTCTGACCATGAATTCTCAGAAAGGAACCCTAGCCCCCCCGGGGGATATCATAATTATAGTTTTTTGACCCCTCGAGTCAGGCGATGGTGACATCCAATCCTAACACGCCTTCAGAATTCTCCAGAATCTTACATCATCGCTCCTGATCTTCCCCCTCCCAACACTAGGAACACTTTCTCATGAGAAACGAATGCCTCTGGCCTTGGACTGATAAGGTGTCAGGCAAGCGGAAGCCCTTAATTAACTACACCTGCAAGAAAGAACCAGGCCAGTTATTTATACATTGACCCTTGAGGGAAGGCGAGAATGGTGCTTCGCCTCACAATAGGACAAACAGATCGAACTCTGTGCCAAAGGATAAATGGACACAAATCTGACATCAAGAATCACAAAACTGAGAAACCTGTAGGAGAACGCTTCATCGTCCCAAGACACTCAGTGGGGGACCTCAAAGGAGCTGTTTTATTGCAAAAGAATTTCAGAAATAGAATAGGACTGGAGATTGATGAGTTACAAGTTATTACACCACTCAGGACAATGGAACCTCCAGGGCTTAACAGAGATATCTGGTTCTTATCTCACTACACTTGCTAGATCAAGATGGGCAGCCGTGTTTATCCGTAGCGGTAGAAAAGTGTAAGAGTCGTCATCCACCCCCTACAAATGGATTATACCAGAAGACATCTTCTTCAAATACAAAGATAAGAAAGAAAGGTTTGACTCTGTCACAAAAGCTAAGGCTTTTTTGGAGCAGTTACAAAAGCCAGAAAAGCCAGTAAAGCCTCAAGAGGACGACAATGTCAACGAAGAGAATGACCAGAGAAACCAGGGCAAAATCTCATCATTATCTACTGAAGAATCTGACTTGGAATTAGGGGCAGCGGCCCCCAAAAATCCTAAAACCAATCGAGACTATCATCTCAGAAAGAAGAAAGATAAACCTTAACTTTTATCTCTAGAAGCTGAACTTAATCTATATTTAATAGATTCTCGGATGTTCTTTATATAGTTAATTGCCACGGATAAACTTTACTAATCTTTTTCATGGATATAACACAGTTACAGTACTAATACGTAAAAAAAAATGTTGTAAGCATTATATGACCACTGCTTCTTGGGTTTTTAGTGGTTATCTTTACTTTCTCCCTTAGTTTGTAGACAACCCTTCCTTATGATTTCTATGTAGTTTTTAGAATAAAAGCAATTAAAAATGTTTTAATAAAAAGAAAAGTGTAAGAGTCCAGTAGCACCTTAAAGACTAACCAAATTTGTGGTATGGTATAAGCTGCTCACTTCTTCAGACACATGCTCATGTCATTCAGTTCTCACATCGGTCTGTAACAGGGCTTTTTTTGTAGAAAAAGCCCAGCAGGAACTCATTAGCATAATAGGCCACACCCCTGACAGCACAGCTCGTTGGCATATTAGGCCACTCCCCCATGTTACCAGAAGTGTGCTCATCCAGCCACACCCACCTTTTGCTTCTTATTCTGTTTACCTTGTTTGTTGTCAAAACCCAGGGCTTTTTTTGTAGCAGGAACTCCTTTGCATGTTAGGCCACACACCCCTAATGTAGCCAATCCTAATGAGTTTCTGCTGTTGGGTGTGGCCTATTATGCTAATAAATTCCTGCTGGGTGTGGCCAACTTGGAAGCCAGCCGGAACTCCATTCCTGTGTGTTCCTGCCCAAAAATAGCCCTGGCTGTAAACTCTTTTATTATGCTGTATGCTCCTCTGCCGCTATTCACAAGCTTTACCAATTGCCTTAATCCAATTTTAGCTCTAAGTGGCCCTTCCTGGCTGTTAACATTCTCCTCACCCCCTACCTGTGTGGAGATTCTGTTTCAGTGTATCTGAAGAAGTGTGCACGCCCGTGAAAGCTTATGCCCAGAATAAAGCTTTGTTGGTCTTAAAGGTGCCGCTGCTGGACTCAAACTTTGTTCTGTTCCTTCTCCACAGTCATTTATTTTCTCTTAAAAACTTTCCTCTCCCCCTCTGTTAAATCTCTCCCACTCCTCCTTGTGGCTGTTCTGAGGCACAGAATTCTCACTCAGCCGGAGTCTCGGCTCTCTTTCATTTTCTCTCTTCTCATGTAACTCTTTGCCTGCCCTTGTCCTTCAGAACATGACTGTTTCACTGTCCTTATGTTTTGAGTACCCTTTCAATTCCTGTACCCTTCATTTCCCTATACATAAACTTTGTTTTGGAAAAGATCTGGTTGTTTTGTGGTTACTGGTAGCCTGTTAGAGGCATTTTGAGTTTGCTGACACACTTGTCAGGAAAAGATCCCTACATCACGCGTTCTGTTCCCCCAATTGACAAGTGTGTCACTTTTCCAAGCTAGTTGGGTTGGGGAAGCCTGTCAAAGGTTTGGCAACCTCCATCATTTTGCAAAAACAAAGAGGTTTATGAAACACCTGGTTTATGCTATTGTTGCTCTTGGATATATTAAAGAGTCAATCACTGAAAAGCAAAGGATCGTAAGAGTATTCCTTGTTATAGCTTTTAACCTAGGGCTGCCAGGTACCCCCTTGGTCACCAGTGGGAGACGGTAAGGTAGGGTTGCCAGATCCAGGTTGGGAAACTCCTGGAGATTTGGGGGTGGATCTTGAGGAGAACATAGAGTCCACCCTCCGATGCATCAATTTTCTACTTGGGAACTGATCTCTGGAGTCTGGGGATGAGCTGTAATTCTGGGAGATCCCCAGGTCTCACCTGGAGGCTGGTATCCCTACTTCCCCATGTGTGATCAGACCCTCTTTCCCACTATGCCTCGGGCAATGCGGCGGCGCAGTTCCTCCCTCCGCCTCCGAGGGGAGCCGCCGCCGAGCGTCCGCGGTGACGAGCGAGCCGGAGTCCCGTCATGCCCTGCGCGGTCTCCATGGCGACCGAGTCGCGGGGCCTCTACCGCCGTCTCCGCCGCCGTGGCCTGCCGGAGAGCCGAATGGGGCCTGGCGCGGCGCTGCTGGGGCCGCTCGCGTGGTGCCTCCTGGTGCTGCCGCCGCCGCCGGTTGCCCCGTCCACGGCCGTGCCGACCCCGAGCCCTTCCTCCTCCGCCTTGGCCACGAGCCCAGGCGAGGCCTCGACGGGGCCGCAGACCGAGGGGGTCCCCGGCACGACCCCCGACACCAGCCAGGGCCCCACAGCCCCGGGGGAAGAAACCCCCGCCTCGGAACCCAGCCCGAGCGCCGGCAGCCCCGCGGAGACCCCGGGCCCCAGCCCCGCCAGCACCCGCGGCCCCTCCAGCACGGCGGGGCCCACTCTGGCGCCCCATCCCGGGCCCTGGCCCCAGCCGGTGACGGACGGTGAGCCCTGCCTAGAGATGTGGAAGGCCCGGGGGGAAACCCGGAAAAATTCGGGAAAACGCCGTTTTCCCCTGTGAAGCCTTTTTTGTTTTTTTCCCCCCGAAAAATTGGAAAAAGAAAAGGGGGAAAAATTGATTATGGAACGGTTTATTTTAACATGGTGAATGAAATATTTTAAGACAAGGTGTTCAAATATTTTCCAAATCATTTCTAAAAGATATGTATAGTATCAGATTGATCTAATTTCTGTGCACTTTAGGACAAGCAAGTCCTAGGTTATCAAACTGAACTCTTCAATGCAAGAACAAGATGCATTTCTTCCTTTAGGAGATGCTATTGTCACAAGAAAAGAAATAGGCTTCAGTTTTGTTTTTGCACGTGGGCGGGTATTCTGTTTGTAATAATTGTTTGGATGCACTATATCTTTAATAGGCTAGTTGTGATAATTTCATGCCAAGTAAAAATGTCCATAGTCATATTTCATGTTTCTAAAGTAACAGAATGACTTTCAATCTGGAAAAGAAAAAAGAAGCGCTAATGTAGCATTTTTTTCAATTTTTCCAAAAGTTTCCGTTTTTCCCCAAAAAAAAAACCTGGGGGAAAAACGGGGGTTTTTCCGACCTTCAAAATTTCTGGAAATTTTACATCTCTAGCCCCGGCCCTTCCTGATGTGTGAAGGAAGGTGGGCCAAGGAGAGCGGAGCGGAGCCTCCACCTGCTGGGGCAGTCTACCCTAAACAGGCCACTCAGCTGCAGCTGTCATTTGAATGTGGGGAGGGGGGCTGAATTCGGGCCTAAGGCCTTTGTTTGACTCTTCCTCTTCAGTGGCCAAGTTGTGCGTCTGTGACCTCTTGGTGGACCAGTGTGACGTCAACTGCTGTTGCGATCCCGCCTGCACTGCTGCAGATTTCAGCCTCTTCACAGAATGCTCGGTTCCTGTTGTCACGTAAGTGTTTGCAGGCACCCTTTATGGCTTGCATGGCATGGAGGTGCGTTTTGTGAGCTCCTTAGGATGTTCAAGAAGGGCATATGCATTGGCATTTCTTTAAGTGTAACACGGGAGAATGCAATGGGTTGGGTGGGGGAGGAATGGCTTGCCTGCCTAACTGGCAGCAAGATCTGCCTAACCTGTGCAGGGCCCTTTGGAAGAGTCTTTGGATGGAATGGGGATAGCCGGTTTAAACATTCAGCTTTTGGTATATTCAGGTGGGTAGCCGTGTCGGTCTGAAGCAATAGAACAAAGTTTGAATCCAGTGGCACCTTTTAGACCAAACAAATTTAATTCTGGGTCTAAAGGTGCCACTGGGCTCAGGCTTTTGATATAAATCAAGGTGGGCAGCTGTTTTAGTCTGTAGCAGTAGAAAAGAGCAAGGGCCCTCCAGTAGCACCTTAAAGACTAACACAATTTGTGGCAGGGGAGGAGCTTTCGTGAGTCACCGCCCACTTCTTCAGAGACTTCCTCAGTTATCTCACGAAAGCTCGTAACCCTGCCGCAAATTCTGTCAGTCTTTTAGGTGCTACTGGACTCTAGCTCTTTTCTATAGCTTTTGATATGGTACTGCCCTCTTGTGGGCCTTTATCATCTTGGAGTACACTAGGAGCAGGGTTTGTTCTCTGAAAGCCCACTCACCCCCCCTGTCAATATGTCCCTGTATATGCAGAAGCCTAAGCGCATTATAAGGAAGGCTAGATGAAAAGACTTCTCCCCCATGGCACTGCCTGCCCATCTGTAGGGGTTTCCTCCCCATGTGCAATTTGATGCTGTGTGTCCTTATAAGAGGATTCTGCTGTGTTAAAAATTGCACGTGTAACTTCCCTCATCTGGGAATGACCGCTCTCGCTGTTGCTTCATCTGGTATTACTCTTTTGACAGGAGGCAGAACTGCTCATTCAGTATTCAGACTAGCGAGTGCAGCAAATGACAAGGCTGGCAAGTGGAGCAAGGGGGCACCCCTCTCGTTAAAAACATAAGAACACCAGAAGAGTCCTGCTGAATCAGACCGACAGTCCATCTAGTCCAGCATCCTGTCTCACACAGTGGCCAACCAGCTCCTCTGGAGGTCCAGCTACAGGGCATAGAGGCCAAGGCCTTCATAAGAACATCAGAAGAGCCCTGCTGGATCAGACCAGTGAGGGTACGTCTGGTCCAGCATCCTGTCTCACACAGTGGCCAACCAGTTCCTCTGGAGGGCCAACAACAGGACAGAGAGGCTTGAGACCCTTCCCTTGATCTTGCCTCCTGGCTCCGGGATTCAGAGGATTAGTGCCTCTGAATGTGGAGGTTCCTCTCTGTCACCATGGCTAGTGGCCTTTGATAAACTTCTCCTCCATGAATCTCTCAAATCCACTTTTAAAGCTGTTTATTCCCGTGGCTATCACAACATCCTCTTGCAGCAAACTCCACATTTTAATCACTCGCTGTGTAAAGTAGTATTTCCTTTTGTCCATCCTGAACCTCCTGCTCATCAGCTTCATTGTATAAAGGTTGAAAGTACACTTCCACCTCTCTGTATGGAAAGTCTTAATTCTGTACCATGGAGGTTTTTAGGGTTGCGTTTATGTATATAGAAAAAACAGCAACTAGGTACCCTTCCACCACACCTGGGTCAGCCAACCTCACCCCTGCAGTGTCCGCCCACCCCCCCATCAGCAAAGGGAGAACAGGGAGCAGCGGGGCATCTTCTTGTTATGCCCAGACCCAGATTTCTTTGTCAGCTTCATCTGTGAGCACTAGGGATGTGCATTCGGTTCGTCTGAACCGAATGCACCCCCGAAAATGGCCCATTCGGGCCCCTTTCGGGCTGCTGCGGACCGATTCAGATTCTTTGATCTGAATCGGCCTGCCGCTGAATTGCCACTGAATTTCGGTGGCAATTGAGCCCCATTATATCCTATGGGTCATTGAAGTCAATGGTGAAAACATGGGGTATATTCTGGGGGCTGGAGGGGAGGGGGTTTGAGAGAGAGGCTCCAAGCTCGCAGGTAGCTGCTGGAGCTTCTCCCCAAGATACCCACCAAGTTTCAAAAACATTGGACCAGGGGGTCCAATTCTACGGGCCCCCAAACAGGTTGCCCCCATCCCCTCCATAGGGTATAATGGGGCCGAATGACATGCGGGAGTCTTTCTGCCTGCCGAAATTGATTCGGCTGAATCCGAATCAGGCCGAATTATTTTTTTCCCCACATCCCTAGTGAGCACCATTATATTTTAGTTATCCGGATTTGTTTTAAATTGCCTTAAATTGGGTGCCAATTTTGGTATGAAATCCAGGGTTAAAATAGGATAATTTAGCTATCAAGTACAGCATGGACTCTCGATACCCTAAATGTCCAAGCTTTCTGTTAATGCCCAAGACGCTGTGTCGATGAGAATTCCTTCTGAGCTTTTCTTTAGGACTAAGCCATCCAGCTGTGCTTTGCTCAGCACCTGCTTATGCCTCTGGCGTCTTTGGTGCATTGTGAATCTGACAGGCAAATAAAGCTACGCCGGCTGACAGTAGTCCTGTCAACTACAAGTGTGTCAGTAAGCGTGTTGCCGTGCTCTTCAGATCTTTCAGTACAGCTACCTTCCATTAAAAAAAAATTAGAGGCTTTGACATAATCCAGTACGAATTCTCTCAGCACGCAAGGCGATACTTGCCAAACCTCTTCTCTTCTCTCCTCCTTCCCTCCCCACCCCTGGCAATTCATCAGTCCAATCTGGCCGTGGAGTCTTATTCTCGGCTCTTTGAAAAGTGAGTCACTCGTCACCTGGGTCATGACGGCTGCCATTGTTCCGGCCCACAGTGCAATCGGCCGCCCACCTCCAAGCACTCCTAGAGTTACTAGGCATGGGTTGGAGAGGCATTCTCTCTTAGGAAGGAAATGTGTCCTCGCCTGAAAAGACAGGCACAGAACGCGTGCACGTGTATTGATGCCGTTCCTTCTGGAAAATGCGGCTAGGACGTCAGCCGCAGGCTTAGCTGGATGTTATTCTCCTGAACTACCATTTCTGTAGGCTTTTCAGTCCCAATTCTGCTATTGTTTTTTCACAACCATAAGCACCGTGTAGCAGATTAGGTCAAAAAAGGGAGATGCCAAAGGTGGAGGATTTGAACTTGGGCCTCAGTAGAGCTGACTCCAGGTTTTCTTCTTGCCATCAAGTCATGCTTCGTGGCGACCCCTTGTGGGCCTTGAAGGGAACAGACATTCAGAAGTGGCTTGCCATCGTCTGCGTCCCGCCCCTGGTATTCCTTGGAGGTCTCCCTTCCAAATGCTAGCTTAGGCCGGGCCTACTTACCTTCCGAGATCAGGCTAGCCTGGGCGATCCAGGTCAGGGCCCGACTCCAGGTTTTGGTGGCCTGACCTTTCTTTATGCAAACAGTACGTTCTGCCAGAGAGGGTCAGCTCCCCGCGCCCTTCTGTCCGGCTCCAGAAATGGCCCCCTGCTTGCGTCTGTGTGCAGAAGGTCACAGGTCCACTCTGAAGGTAGCTTTGTACCTTCTCTGCTGTTCTGTTTGACCATATATCAGCCGCTTGCATTTTCCCCCTGCTCTTATTTTCTCTTGAAGAGGTGACATCCAGCTCTGCAGGCAGCAGGAAGCTCTTTATTCAATGGACACATCAGTGCACCCTCCCGAGAGGACGTATCAGTTAGCGGACAAGGTCAACCCCAGTGTTTTCTGCATCCAGACCGTCAACTGTAAGTGGAGTGTAAGTGTAAAATGTTCTTGTGTGAATGCTCGAAAATCCTCCTGAGTCATCATGCTGCTGAAGGAGGAAAAGTTTCTCTATGTTTGGAGCTGCGTTGCGGTTTCCCCAGCCTGACTACTTTGGGCAAAAATGCAGCTAAGCCATCATGGCCGCAGCGAGGTGGGGTGTGTGTATGGAGTCTTTAGTGGGATTTAACTTGAGAAGAACCTCTTTTTCATGTCAGGTCTACCACATGGAGCACAGGATGTTTGACAAATAGATTTCATTTAATCTGCTTATTTAGATTTATAGTCCACTTTATCCTGAAGTCTTTGGGCATTAACAAAAGCAAACATCAGTAAAATGGAATCGGATTGAAAGGCGTTTGTGTTCTTTTCTGCTCCAGTTTTCCGGTTCTTGCTAGCCCTGTTTCTTGGCATTGCTTCCCCATTCTGTGATCATTTATAGTGTTATAGAATAGAATCTCCCCATCTTGCAAATTTGATCCCTACTAAAAAAAACCCCAAACCAATGAAGAGGCATATGGATGTTGTCAATGACTTTAATCACAAAGAAGTGAATACTTTTGCACTGAAAAACGAAACCATCCCTATAAATACCATTCTGGAGGGGAAACCAATCCACCATCTCCATATTTGAACTGTACTGCTCTGTTCAGACATAATGACAAAAGATAGTTTCAGCAAGAAGCCTCACAGACCCTCAGATATGGAAGACTTCCAGAATCCTGAGAAACCAATTTGCCATTCCTTCTGATCTGGACATCATAACAAACAGTAATAGAAGAAGAAGAGATTGGATTTATATCCTGCCCTTTACTACCTGAAGGAATCTCAGGGCAATTTACAAACTCCTCCCCTTCCCCTCCCCACAACAGACACCCTGGGCGGTAGGTGGGGCTGAGAGAGCTCTGACAGAAACTGCTCTTTTTCAAGAACAGCTCTAGCAGAACTATGGCTTGCCCAGGGTCATCCAGCAGGTGCAAGTGGAGGCGTGGGGAATCAAACCCGGTTCTCCCAGGTTAGAGTCCACGCACTTAACCACTACACCAAACTGGCTCTCAGTAGAGTCTCTTCTCCTGCCTACAGCCCAGGACTCCAAACCAGGGTTAAACTAGAGAACAGCTTGTTTCTTTGCCTCCAAGCTGGATACCACTACAAACTTTTGACACTTTGGGAAGCAAAAAGGCTTCAGTATCCAAGCCACATGCAAGGGGAGGGATTGTGAGTCATCGCATGAATTCCCTTAAGGGCAAACCGTGGTTTGTTGCAATGTCTGAATCCAGCCTGTATGTCTAAATGACCACAGAGGGATATATCAGTCTATTTGCTCTACATTCATGGAGACCTTTGGCTAATTAGGGAGAAACAAACAGCAAATATCTGTCTGTATTACAAAGATATGTTGGCATAGGTATATTCGCTAGTGGTTGGCTGAAGAGACTGCGTGGCATAGGGGTTAGTGTGTCAGAGTGGGACTAAGAAGACTTTTGTCTGTAAGTCCATCCATCCGCCCCACCTGACAGCATAAAACAGACGGAGAAATAGGTACACACCACCTGGAGCTTTTTGGAGGAAGAAATGGATTCCTGTTTGGTGTGAGAGCCAGTTTGGTGTAGTGGTTAAGTGCGCGAACTCTGCTCTGGGAGAACTGGGTTTGATTCCCCCACTCCTCCACATGCACCTGCTGGATGACCTTGGGCAAGCCATAGTTCTGGCACAGCTGTCCTTGAAAATGAGCAGTTTCTGTCAGAGCTCCCTCAGCCCCGCCTACCTCCCAGGGTGTCTGTTGTGGGGAGGGGAAGGGAAAGGAGTTTGTAAGCCGCTCTGAGACTCTTTCGGGTAGTGAAGGGCAGGGTATAAATCCAATCTCTTCTTCTTCTTCTTCTGTTTTTAAATATTTCGGTCAACTCGCTTGCTCCTCCCCCCTTTCTGCTCCTTTTCCCTACCTGCAGCCATCCTGTCTCCTGCCACACATTTATTATGGGGTCATTGCTCAAAATATGTACATAATGCTTGGAAGATAATGGCAAACATTTAAAAAAATGTTGGTCCCCACACATGTGAGGCAGTGTTCCCTCTAAGCTGGGTTAGTGTGAGCTAGCTCACAGTTTTTTAGCCTCCAGCTCACACATTTTTGCCTTATCTCAGGAAGGATGGCTCCAGAGCAAACCAGTTTATGCAGTAGCCAAATCACTTGCTCACAACTTTAATGCCAGTAGCTCACAAGTTAAGAGTTTTTGCTCATAAGACTCCACAGCTTAGAGGGAGCATTGAGGCGAGGCATGGTTTTTCTTCTCGCTGGAGTCCCATTTCCAGTTCACGACTGATCAGATGACCTGTATCCATTCTCTGACCTGCTGCAGCTGTGTGCAGAGGAGTTTCCCCCAGGATCCTAGACATGGGAAGAGCTCCTGTGAACCCAGGAAGTGTCCTATTTGCATGTGTGAACAGTTCCAAAATGCCGTTTCCGCAGTACAACGTGACATGTTAAACTATTTCCCTCCCACCCAGATAAAGCTGCACTGTCCTTCCAATCTCCAGAAATACCTACTCTGGAAAATTTTGATAGCCTGCTTCAGGACTATGGCGGAAATACCTTCAGTACCGAAACGGATCTCACGTCAAGTGTTGAATCGGGAACCGGGAGTGCGGATAACGCTGGTGAAACAAGTAGATATGAGGTAGAGGGGAAAGCTTCTTGCGTATTACTTCCGTAGCGTTACAGCTGTATAGTTGTAAAAAGCAGACAGACACCAATATGGTGCCATAAAAGGTTAGAATGTAAGGCTGAAATTCACCAGTGCTGAGTTATAGTTTGTGTCAGTCTTCAGATGCAGAAAATTAAACCCACGTGTTTTCCGTTGACAGTACAGAGATCCGATAGAGACAGCAGATGGGTTTCTGTGGCTTCCGGCTCCACTTTTCTTCTCCCAGTGTACAGACAGCAATCCTGCAGGTCAGAGGACGGTAGTTGTCAACTCCAGAATTGGGTGGGGTGAGGGGAGAAATAGGTGTGAAGAGGCAAAAGGGAGGTGGCGGTGGGTGTTGTTTATGAAGGCCTTTGCACCTGCAGTCAGCTTAGACACAGCAGCGCCTTTCCCACTGCCCGTTCAAACCAATTGTTGTCCATTGCTGACCTAATTGCTTCAAAGCGACATGGGGATGGACATTTTTTTAAAGGCGTGTGCTCCTTTAAGCAGAGCGGGGTGCTGCAGTCGACTGATTCCCGCACTGAGCAAGGGGGTTGGAGTAGGTGACCTCTAGGATCCCTTCTAACTCTGTCAAGAAACTGGTCTCCTTTAAAAGAGTTAGCCTTCTTTACTATAGAAGGCATCACCCCCACCTGCCGGCTTGTTATCAGAATTGTTGCTTAGGCTGGCAAGAAGTGATGAACTTGCAGTAGCTGAGAACTAAGGTGGTTGACAGCTTGCAGTTTAGAGATCTGTTATGGTAATAGCTTTCTATTGGCCAAAATTATTTTCTTTTGGCAGTGAGAACTTCAGCCCCGCCAGAAAAAAAGTTGCCTCACAAGCCACAAAGTCCTGGCTATGGGTCTGGGATGGAGGTTTCAGACAGCGTGTTCAGATCCATTTATGATCTGTGTCTGAAGTGCTCTTGCCCACTTCAAACCACATCACCCTTTTCCCCTGCCCTTTTTTGCAACATGTTCTGTTTTGGCTTTTAAGAAAATGTTCTGAATTTTGCGCTGTAGCATTAGACCGATGTATTCATTTATTTATTTATGCGATTTATTCGATATTTAGGAGGAGGAGAGGAGAGGAGGAGGAGATTGGATTTATTCACTGCCCTTCACTACCTGAAGGAGTCTCAGAGCAGTTTACAGTCTCCTTTCCCTTCCTCTCCCCACAACAGACACCCTGTGAGGTAGGTGGGGCTGACAGAGCTATAGCTTGCCCAAGGTTATCTAGCCAGGTGCAAGTGGAGGAGTGGGGACTCAAACCTGGTTCTCCCAGATTAGAGTCCACGCACTTGACCACTACACAAAACTGGCTCTTTATTTATTTGATTTTTAGACCGCCCTCCCCCATACTTGGGGCTCATATATAGCAATCCAGTGACAGCTGCAAGCATCTGAAAGCTGTTAAGAGAGGACTGAATTGCTAGGTTGTTCTAGCGCTATAGCACAAAAAAGTTAGAACATTTAAGAAAAAAAGCCAAAATAGAACACGCTACCAAAATGGTTGGGGGGTGGGAGGGAAGCAGCACTTTCAGAAGCGCCGCAGACATTTCAAACACCACACCATGACGATTCAGAAGTGCAGAGAACACCTGAAAACGGAAGAAAGGCATATTAAAAAAGAAAAGCTCAGCCCCACTTTGCAAACGGGACACAAGTGGCTTTGTTTGAAGAGGTAAATAAAATCCCTCCGCAGCCGGGAACCAAAACAGTTGCATTGTCGCAAAAAATCTGTTTGCAACCGGCAGCTGAAACGGATTGCAAAGGCAGTTTGGCAGGGGCCAGTGTGTCCTCTGTGTTTGTGCCGTCGTGCTTGTTGACGGCAGCCTGCTGGCTGGAGGACCTCTTCAATTCTCTTGTCTTCCATGGTTGCTGCAGGGTTCCTAGTAAACCAGGCTGTGGAATGCAACCGGATGATCCAGGCAGAGGAATGCGCCACCATTCCAGCTCTCAGCATGGATTTCTACACCAGTCCTAGCATTCTGCCGGTAAGCACTGACCTGGGGAATGCCCTGACGGCTGGCATTAAAGCAGGGGGAGGGGGGAGAGAAGGCAGGAGCGCAGGTGGTTTCCAGTTTGGTGTAGCGGTTAAGTGCGCGGATTCTAATCTGGGAGAACCGGGTTTGATTCCCCACTCCTCCACTCACAGCTGCTGGATGACCTTGGGTAAGCCACGGCTGTCCTTGAAAGCTGCCACAGCTGTCCTTGAAAGAGCAGTTTCTGTCAAGAGCTCTCTCAGCCCCACCTCCCTCCCAGGGTGTCTGTTGTGGGGAGGGGGAGGGAAAGGAGTTTGTAAGCCGCTCTGAGACTCCTTTGGGTAGTGAAGGGCCATGGGGTATAAATCCAATCTCTTCTTCTTCTTCTTTTTGCCCAACATCATGTTTTCGCACAGTTCATAGCTGCAGGTCTAACAGTACATAAATGAACCCCGGGGGAAATAAGTTTTTAGTGTGAGATTTCAGGATGGAGGCATCGCCATTGTCTGTTTTGAGGGAAACTAATTCTTTCCTCTTTTTTTTTTTTAAATCCCCGTTAGCTACCAAAGTCCAGTCGAAGGGTAGGTGTCTCTCTCTTTACTTCCAATACATCATTTCTGTGTGGGCGTGACTTGCTTCCCGCTATGGGGTAACCGGTCCTTTTCTCTCATTGGAGGAGGGCATCCTGAGAGATGGGCGATCCTTCCCATCAGATCGGAGGGAGGGCTAATCTTCACCTGGCTGTCTCCTCACTGGTCCTTTCCCCGCCCCAGGGAAAAGGGTTTCACACGCCACTTCCCAACACCCTCATAGTCGTTCGTGACCAAGAAGCAGGTCACAGAGATGGGGCTACACGAAAGGGGGCAGGCTTGATTCTCAGTAGCTCAGCTCTCGGGAGGGGGTGGGGGAGTGTCGACATGGCTGGGGAGCAGATTGAGCCATTTCGGTGGTGTTCCCGAATTCACCCTCCTCTAAGACATCTCCACAGCATAATCTTTGAGGACGTTGAATGGGGAGGTTCCCTCCTTTTGGAGAAAAGTTTTCTCTAAACGTCTCTGCCATACTGAGGAGGAATCTCTGTCGTTTCGTTTATTTCCATCCGCCACTTTTTGACACAAGTGTCCCCAAAGCGATGGAAGGTGGCAGTTGAGACAGTCAGATGTTTTAAAGCATCATAGGGCATAATTAGAAGACTGGGAAGCACTCCTTGTGAATGGATTTTGATCAAGAACGGTCCAATTGCCCTGGACCGTTCTTGATCAAAATCCATTCACAAGGAGCGCTTCCCAGTCTTCTAATTATTCAGCCCAGGCCAGCCCGGCCTCGTCAGTCGGGATGCAGGAGCTGGCTTTATTCAGCCACTTCTCTGAATATCCTCCAGGCCTCCAGTAGGGGTCAGTCACCAGAGGTCGCCACACCAGAGGTGCGCACACACACACAGACATGAAAAATACCAGGAAAAAACCCTGAGAAACAAGAACGGTCCAGTTTCCGGCTGCTGGTTTTCATTCGACGGTTTCTTCAGTGACATTTGGAAGCCGGAGTGGTTGACGGAGGGGGCCCATAGCTGCTACCTTGCCTGCCTCTGGTTTTGGAGGGCAGCTTTTCAAACTCCCGAACTCTGCCTGGTATTGTGGTGCACAGACGGCAGTTAAATCCACACCCAGCCCTTTCTTCTGGCCACCGCCATAACCCCGCCCTCTCGGTCCTCAGCTGCCCTGGGCGACCTCACTTTCCCCTTGCCTTTCAAGTGTCCGCACTGTGCCAAGTTTTGCCAAGAACCAAGGAGGGAGCCGGATCTTTAAAACCCTTTCTAACCCCCCTCTCTGTTCAGGAGCCTCTTCCTCAGTCAGCTCTGCCACCACAAAAGGAATTCTTTGAACCTGGCCTCTTTTGCTAGCCAGGAGATCTCTCTGTGCGGGAGTGCCATGTGTGAGGGGAAGGAGGCGTCCGGGCTTTTCCTCCCCCCCCCCTTTCCCTCTCTCACTGCCACTGACAAATCAGGCATTGCGGAGCTTACTCACCCGCCAGTCCTGCAGATGAAAGTGTGTGTGTGTGGGGGGGGAATTGCATTGAACCCAGAAGTGATGGGCTGATGACACTCCAGGAATCCCCAGGCTCTCTATGGTAAAGGTGATAGAGAGTTGTGGGTTCGTAGAGCATTGCCCATCACTTCTGGCTATGAAGCCGTTTCCCTCCCCCTACTTTCTCCTGCCTTATCAGGGAAAGGTGTCAAGCTTCTTTTTCCAGGGTGGCCCCATGTGTCTTTTCCGGGAGGAACTCCGGGGTTCTCCAGAACACAGTTTGCAAACCACTGCTGTTGGTGATCCATAAATAGGCCACGTGCAAAAAGGGGGTGGTTGGGCATATCTGTAGTTTGAGGGTTCAATGACGACAGAACACAACAGATCTCTTGAAGCTTTCTGACCAAGCTCAGTTCTCTCTCTGTCCCAAGCTGTTCTGTCTCCCGAACTGCCTGTCAGTAGCGCTTTATTAGAATCAAGCAGGCTCACACATGGTACAGTGAAAACGTTACATGAAGAAGCCTTTAACTAGAATCACACTATGTTCTTTAACAGACTGTTCTTTACGCTAAAACTCTCCTCTCTTGCCCGAATGTTGCAAAGTTTGTGCTCTCAGTAATTCAGCAGACTCATGCAGACTCAGCACACTTTGTGCACTGCCTGCCAATCTCCCGGTGAGAACCTGAACTCGTCCTGGGCATGCCTCACGGGAGTTGTTCATATTCCCACGCATATCATCCATATAAAGAAAGAGGACACTGCGTGGGTGCCTGCTGAAGATTCTTGGTTGTCTTTTCAGGTGAACGTCACCATCCAGTCCATAACTGTGCAGACCCTGCAAGGGCTGCGCACGCGCCTCAATAGTAGCGATGTGTTGTTCCCCACGTCGGAGGGTCAGGCGTGCAGCAATGTCGTTCTTGAGGTAGGTATTGGATCTCCTTTTCCTCCCCGCACAATTCAGAAAGTTTAGAAGAGAAGTCTTTGCTTAATATCAGAAGCCAGGCGCCCCGTGATTCTGCAACTGGGCCTTTTCATCGGGTTGTCCCCTTTTTTGCGGAAGGGCCGTGGCTCAGTAGAAGAGCCTCTGCTTCGCGCGCAGAAAGTCCCAGGTTCAATCCCCAGCACCTCCAGTTAAAAGGATCAGGGAGTAGGTGATGTGAAAGACCTCTCCTTAGGACCCCGGGGAGCTGTTGCCAGTCTGATTAGACAGTACTGACCTTGATGGACTGACGGTCTGATTGGGTAGAAGGCGGCTTCATCGAGGGAGGCAGACTGGGCGTCTCTTCCATCCCCTCGCACTCAGCCTAGGTGTTCCTGCTTGAAGTGGCTGCTTGTCTTGTGCCATGAAAATGTTAAAAAGGTAAAGGTTCCCTTGCTCGAAAGCCAGTCGTATCCGACTCTAGGGTTGCGGTGCTCATCTCTATTTCCAAGCCGAAGAGCCAGCGCTGTCCGAAGACGTTTCCGTGGTCATGTGGCCGGCCTGACTAAACACCAAGGACCACGGAACGCTGTTAGCTTCCCACTGAAGTGGTACCTCTTTATCTACTTGCAATTTCTTGTTTGGCCCAGGCAGGCACACTCAGCCTAACTTTCCTCACGGGTTTTGTGAGGACAACATCCGGAAGGGCCAGTCACAGACGCTGCCGAGGCTCGTTGGAGGAAGGGTGAGATAGAAGAGGGCAAGCCGTAACGGAGAGCGGCCTCCGATCGATCCAGTGACCTCACGGGGGCCAAAACCACTTTCTTTGGTTGTTTGGAATCCTCTCCCCAAATGCCTATGCGGTGCCTCCAGAACATCCCAGGAAGGGCCCTTTGCCTTCTCATGGCCAGCTGCAACGAAGCCAAGGCATTTCCAGGAGCATTTGCTCGCTTGTGACCCTTGCTTCCCCTGCCCCCCGGCCCTTGAGTCTAAATTTAGACTGTAAGCTCCTTGGGGCAGGAGCCAGACTCTGGCCGGCGTCAATAAACTGCCATGTATATTGGCGAGGGAGATGTATAGATAATACACGGGGTGGGGAGGCTTGCTTTTAATAGAACCGTCAATCAGTTAATCCCCAAATGTTCTTTGTCTTTAGGCAAAGCACCTGATTACTTTCACAGAGGCAGGTGAAATCACCGCTGTGGCTGCATCTCTCGTCCTGGCGACCATTGACGTGACCAGTGGTTTCATCCGGCAAAGCTTCGAAATCCATTTCATTCCGGTAACTTTTTGTGACTTCTTGGGAAGCCGGACTTTAAAACAGTGGCTCTTCAGAAGAAGGGGGTGGCGAGAAGGACGGAAAGCGCAGGACCCTCGGAAGAGGCCGGGGCCATGCATCCCCACTTTCAAGCACCCCGGTTTCCTGGCTTCCTTCCAATCCCTTCTTTTGGAAACCGCGGGTTGCTGTCCATCACCCGTATGCCGTTAAAACAACACTTTAATAATAACGCGGAGTCAATTATTTCATTTCATCTCTTATTAAGCAATGGTCCAGTAGGTGTTTATACTCCCGGGGGAGAGTTGTCATATTAGCGGCTTTGCATTCAAAATAAATAGCTAAGCCACCAATCTGTTGTTTGTTTGTTTGTTTCTGACAGCAAAATACGCGACCCGTTGCCCTCAGTGGAAATCCCGGCTACGTGGTTGGGCTGCCAATCAAGGCTGGATTTAGGTCTCCTGGATATCCTTTTGCTCGACCTGCGGATGGCGTGCGACAGTCCTGCAAAATTCTGTGGGGATGGAAAGATGGGTGCTGATGCATTCATTCATTCATTCATTCTTTATTTATTTATTTGTTTGTTTATTAAATTTGTATCCTGCCCTCCCTGCCATGGCGGGCTCAGGGCAGCTCACAATATTTGTTGTTGTTCAGTCGCACAGTCGAGTCCGACTCTTCGCGATCAGATCAGTCAATCCTAAAAGAAATCAACCCTGACTGTTCCCTGGAAGGCCAGATAATGAAACTGAAGCTCCAATACTTTGGCCACCCAATGAGAAGGGAGCACTCACTGGAGAAGACCCTGATGCTGGGAAGGATTGAAGGTCAAAGAAGACGGGGACGGCAAAGGATGAGATGGTTAGACAGTGTCATAGATGCAACGAACATGAAGTTGAGCAAACTTCAGAGGATGGCGGAAAACAGGAGGGCCTGGTGAGATCTTGTCCATGGGGTCGCGAAGATATATAGATAGATATAGTCAAACACCGAAATATGTTAAAACACAAAGTCACAATCACAGCATATAGAATCACAAATACTCAGAACATAGATGTTAATGAGAGATGGCGCGGTTCTCTCAACATTTCGAACGGTCACCTCCTGCCACAGCCCAGACTCCTGCCAGGCTGTTGTTTGTCAAGTTAGTACCAATGTTGATGTTGGGGCCAGGGCGTTAAAAGGGCAGCCCCCTAGTCAAAAGCCTGGTGGAAGAGCTCCATTTTACAGGCCCTGCGGAACTGTAGAAGGTCCCGCAGGGCCCTGGTGTTGTCCAGGAGCCCATTCCACCGGTAAGGGGCCGCCACAGAAAAGGCCCTGGCCCTCATTGCGGCCAGCCTGGCTTCTTTAGGGCCCGGGAGAGCCAGGGGGTTTTGGGATCCCGATCTTCGGTGAGGGCAGGAATAACCTACTCGTGCGGCTTCCCAGCCCTGTTTTGATTTCTAGCGACTCTT